CATATATTGTACAATCACAGTCATAAAGTTTTCAATCAGTAGATTTATTTCAGTATGTATTTTTCCAGTATCACAATAAATGTAATTTTATATTGTTAAAACCATCTAGCTTATGTGCACTTTTTAAAACACTGCCCAGCAAACATTTGGACGTTTAATGACAGTTGAACGGTCACAACTGTAAAATACCTGAAATTAAGAAAAATAAACATGACATCTACTGCATCTTCCTTGCCCGGACTCGAACCTGGATCCTCCGGGGGGAGAGTCACCCGCTCTCCCAGCTGAGCTATGCCAGCAACTACTGAATATCAGATTTTTTATATAGATAGGTAGAGGGTAAAGTGCGGGGTAAACTAACCAATCAGAGGACAGAGAAGATCTGCCACAGGCCACGCCTCCAGAGTGCCAAAAGCCCTTACAGCCGAGCGAGCAGGAGTCAGAAACCGAGCGCGCAGAGAGGCTGCCAAGCGCGCACAGAGGCTGCTGCGCGCGCACGTTTTCCTCTGCCGTGTGCTCGTTGACAACGCGCGCACGCAGGTTTGTCACTTGTGCACATCCTTGTGCGCTCACAGACACGGTTTGCTCCCTCTCAGTGCACAAATGACCTCTCGCCATGTATATTTTCGCTCGCGAGTCCCGTTCACACGCGCGCTATGGACCCAATCCGCGTGCACGGGTTGTGGCACGCTTCAAACGCCATACATTCTGCTTGTTTGTTTTTGCAAGCGGAATTACTGCTCCTTGCGGAAGACCACAGACGAAGGACGAGGTTAAGAATGGGGGATACTGCCGCCTACAGGTCTGGCATGTCCTTAACAACGTATTTATCCGGGTACGTGTGGACAGAGTTTTTTTAAAACGCGGTGGTGTGGATGCAAGTTTTTGGAGGGGCGGATATTCGTTTAAAAAAACCCGGCTACGTGTGGACTAGGAATGAGTCTCAGAAGTCCTTTTGCAGCGGTCTCCTCCAAGTTTATAAAATATTAGTTTACGGTTGTTTTTAAAAAATATTTCCACAGTTAGAAAGTAATGCCATGATTTTAGATTTACTGTTACTTTTGTCCGTATAAACATATTTCAGTGAAAGATGTTCTTTTTCCTTTAATGAAAAATACTTGAAATTAAATGATAGATTAATAAATTACATTTATGGAATTAAATAAGTAACTTATTCATTTTATTGCATTTATTTAATGTACTAACTATATACTTCTACTTAACTTTTCAGTAATCCAGAGAGCGTCAGCTCCTCTGTTATTCATTCATTTAATTTTTCTTAAAATGATCCCAGTTTATGTGGATTATTCCCATCAGACCTACACAATATTATTTTGCTATCTTTCATTTTCTTTCCAGAATACATTTGTGACACGTTTTAAATAAGAAGCACAAACCTGAATCATCCCAGCTTTTGCTTTCAATCTTTTGTGGTTCTTTTAGTCCCCAAAACAAACAAAACCTTCCTAACATCCATGTTTCAGCCTCCCCAAGCCCTCTCAGGCACAGCATGCAGGTGTCGGTACCAGATCTGCCCGGGATCCTGCGTCTGCAAATTACGTCACAGTAGATGATTGGCTGAACGTAAGACTTAGGGAAGTTACGATGCCACGTTCATAAAAGTTACGTTAGCACGTTGACAATAAAGATTTGGATTGGTCAGAATGAATTTATGGTTGTAGTCTTAGTGGTTTTAGTCCTGAAGTCCAAAGATCAAAACTTTTTAGAGAAAATGTTTGAATTTCCAAAGGAATTTAAAATAAAAGCTTAGATATCAACTGATAAACGGTGACCCTCAAAAGCTCTTGATTTTGATGAAACGAGGCAAAATAAAATATAAGAACTTTATTGAAAGACAGCAAGCAATATTTTGAATGAATGAATGTATTTACATAACTAAGAAAATATACAGACGAATTCCAGATTAATACAAACAGATTTGGCTTCACATATAAGAAATGTTGCTGGTTTGTGTTGTTTCACAGTCTTTACAAAACAAAGATAATTTGATGTTTTATCAACAAACTACAGTCATAAAGAAAGTATTTAGGTGTTAAACAAGAATTCATTAACAACTGCTGATTTCTTTCCAAAAATTAAGTGTGAAAGCCGAGTGGATTTGCCATAATGTGAGGTCATCAGCAGGCGCAGGACCCTGAGCAGTTCTGGTACCGACACCGGCTACCGAATGCAGGCTACACTGCACAGATGCGCCCTCTCTGGTGGACTTTGGTACTGCATGCCAGTTCTAAGCTATTTTTGTTTTACTCTTCAAAAGTCTAAATTAGATTCGGGGCTTTTCAGAAAACATCCGGGGCTTAAGCCCTATCCCCGCCCTGCAGGTAGTCTTACCGGGCCATGTTCCACTCAGTGTTTCATACTTGCTCTAATGTTCGACAGCAGAAAATAAAAACGTGAATGAGTACAACGTCATGATGTCAGCTCTATCAAAACACTGAGAGGGCAGAGCCCCAACCTTTCATGCTGTTTTAGCTTAGATGCACAGACCACAGCCAAGAGGCGGTGAGAACTGGAGACTGACATGTTCATTTGAACAGAGCTGCTAACATAAATAAATTAAATTCAACATGGCTAAATCATTAAATAGAATGACATGGTAACCATACATTTACTATAGCAATGCTACATACTAGCCAGACTAGAATGATAGCAAACAATAAGTAGCATACTATTTATCTCCGATAGATTAATGTCACTTTTATTTATTATTTTAGATCACACGTGTCAGACACAAGGCCCGCGGGCCAGATGTGGCCCGCCACATCATTTTATGTGGCCCACAAGAGCTCCAAGTGTCTTAAAATAGGTCTATGTCGCTTCAAAGCGTACATTGACTATAAACTACATGTTCCATAATGCATGGGGATTGTATAAGTAGTGCAGTGACCGTACTTTGCCACTAGGTCACAGTGTGTCCACATTCGTGTTTAATGAATGCAACAAGTGAAAATAACTGTCCACAAATGATCCCAAAATGTCCAGGAAGGGAAGGATCGATGCAGAAGGAAGGCGTTTCAACAAAAATGGAAAATGTTGATGCTTCAAGGAGAAAAACCGGAATGTCTTTACAGTCATTAGCATCCATGCTACTAGCATCAGCGTCTGCAGCGGTACCTCCTCTGCCTCAGACAAACTGAGAACACTCCTCTCAATCAGCGCCACGTTTACTCAGCAATTAGCCGACTTTGAAGCCCAGAAA